GACACAAATCATCACAGAATCTGTCCATTGATTGTCTTCTGTTGGCATCACTTTTGAGACCAACTCTTCTTCTCTTTATGTCAGACATTATTTTGCATTTAATTATTGTTTGTATTCAACACTCAATCACTTCTTGTGGTTATTCTTCCACTTCTTATGAGACAATAGTTTGCATTCAATTCATTTAAATCTATAATAAAAATGTAAATAATATTAATATTAATTACAAATTGAGATAAAATACAAATCAATTCATTAAATAATACTTACGTTCAAAACACGTGTTTTTGTCGCCCTTTTAAACACAATAACAATGTTTTGAAATGTGTTTACAATTAATGAGTATTTAAAACACGTTTCCATAGATTTCACACAATTATATAAAACACACAAAATATTAGTAATAATTAAAACATTTAATTAAACAATAAATCTATTTTCAATACAATTAAATAAAATGTTTATTTGTTATGATTTTTAGCAAAAAATTTTTGTCATTCAATAGTTTTCAATACAAACGGCGCTCTCTTTTGAACACTATTTTCAACACTAATTATAACTTTTATAAAACTTTTTGACAATTAATTCAATGCTATATTCAGTTTAAAAATAGGAAAATTAGATTTAAATTCAAAACATAGTTTACTAACAATAATATAATTATTAAACATTACAAACATTTATAAAAATTAAATACAAATGTTTTATTAACGAATTAAAAGTAATTTGTTTGAAAACATTTAAAAATAAGCATTTGTTTTATTTGATTGTTATATAAATTGAGATAAATATGTGTTTAATTATAAAATTCAAAATTTATTAATACTCTAAATGTAATACAATTTTCATTTATAAATCGCCACAAATTATTTAATTAAATGTAAAAATTAGTCGCTAAATGTAATGATACAAAAATTTATAAAATTAAATACAAATGAATTAAAAGGATTATAAATAATATTAGTTAAAAATTATTTATCATTAATAGAATAAAATACAAAACATTAAAATAAGATAGATATTACAATTTTACCACTTTAATGAATTTTTACTTAAAAAACATCAATTGATGTGTTTTTTGATTATAAAACCTAAACAACATTCAAAGTAGTCAATGGTTTTGTTACAACATTTACAATAAGTACTACAATTGGTGTATAATTGGTGGCAATAAATTATGGTCAATATAATGACGTTCTCCACTGTAAATGCCTATAATCTTGGTTGATTTCCAATGTGTGACATCTTTATATTCCTCATCGAACCACATAATGTCGTTGTCGTATCTGATGATCCGTAAATCAGGCAATTTTGACAATTCAGTCAATGTATTAGCCGTTAGTTTATAACAGATTATAAACAAATATTGAAGTTTCGGGAAATTATTGGCAATATTTGTGAAAAATGACATTTTTATACTGCAATCCAACGGTAAAAACGTTAAATGTGTTAATTGTTTGCATTTATTCAACGATTTATGAGTTAATGCAAACCCATCGGGAAAATAGTCGTCAAATTCGAGTCGTTTTATTTGATTGAAGTAATCATTGATTGTTTGAATCAATTTAGAGAAAGTGTCGATTGAATCGCAACACATCCCGAATGATAATCTCTTGAGTTTCGGGCAATTAATACCCAATTGCTTGAATTGATCCCAAGATATGTGATCTAAATTTACATTCAATTTGAGATCAACTAATTGTGTCATTTGTGACAAACCATTCATTAGTATTGAATCGTTCGCAGACTTCATATAAAAGTAAAACACGACTTCAATTGCTTTCAATTGTTTGCCATATATTGTGGCAAATGTTTGAAAGTTATCCACATTTTTGTCATTGAAATGATAGCAAATATTTTGCAATTTCTTGAATATTATCTCATTTTGATTACCAATGAATAGCGAGAAGTCATTGTAAATGTTGGGACACTTTATTAAATTCTCGCAACACTTGAGTCTATTTGTATGTGATTTACAAATCGGTATTAATTTTAATTGTGTCCCAAATTTGGCGAAAAACGTGTCAATTGTTTCCACACTTTCTTCCCATTTATAGTTACAAAGAAAGGAAATTGAATGTAATTTATGGCAGTATTTGATGACTGCTTTCAAACTTAATTCCGATCCAAAGTTTTCAATAGTTTTGATGTTTTGACACTTTTTTACAATCAATTCAAATATTTTTGAATCTCTTTTTACGTCTAAATCATAGACAAAATTATCTCTACTAAAATAGGGCCTTATCTTAAAC